AAACACTTCCTTTGACTTCAGCAATGACCAGGTTGAGCATCAATCATAGTGCCTGGTCTGACGAGGGACTGTTTAATAGTCACAACTCTGTTAGCCCTTGCATGTATGATTTCTTTTTTCACATCCTTACAGCCTCAGTGCCTGAAATAGAAGTTCTGCTTGAGAGTCTTAATTTCCATTGAAAGGAAAGTGAGCTTCTAACTCTTCTCACTTGTAAGAGAAGCATGGAAAAGAGGGCATGAAAATACATGCTGAAATGCCACAGGGAATTAGAAAAGCATAACTGAAGAGGGGAAGTGTATAGAACTCCAGTGTTTGCTAACAAAGGATATATTTTTGGATACTTATTCTTTGTGGGCTTCCTCATGAAAGGGTGGTGGCATACCCCTGCAGTCAGACCTCCCTGGTGGGAGCAGGGAAGGATAATCCACTTACGTCTCACAAGATAACGGATGTTCCCTGGTTTCCACCCACTGCATTATCCACCCCCCTGTCTGAAGTAACCCAGATTTGGTGGGACCATTAGAGGGAGCATATTTTTATGTCTGAATATGAGACTTGGGTGGGTGGGATTTATTACAAACTGAAAACAAGCTCTGTATGCAGGGGAGTAAAAGGAAATTAATTTGAGGGAGCTGACTGAGTGAAATTTTGAGGTACATCATGGGTTTAAATGCTGACTTGAGCTTTTGATGGGTACCATAGGCACCCTTGCAAAAGCTTAGAAGACGGATCAGCCCACAGATCTCTTCTGCAAGGAATGTGAATGTTTTTAAGGGTAAGGTATCGTAACTGAATTGAAGAGCTATTTTCCATAATGATGTAAAATGTGTAGTGGAGGTGATGGCACTGACATTGTTTTGCCCGTTGTTTGTTCCTTCCATTTGTCTCAAACCTCTTGGTGAGATGTGGTCAATGGTTTTACTGCCCCTAACACCATGCAGAGCCAACAAAGAGAAAACTGCTGTGCTTGTTTCAAGCGAATCTGTCTTGCTGTCTGTAGTAATAGGCCCCCTAATGGTGATACCAGTAATAGTCAGAAATTCTTAACTTTTCTGTGTAATACTAGTGTTTAGAAACGTAATTATATATAGTAGAATTCAATTTACTGATGATTAGTAGCTCTGTGTTAAACCAGTCATAAACCAAAATCCTCAAGGCACTGTGAAGGAAACTTCATACACTGTGTAATTTGTTGAAGACAGCTAATTAATTTGCTGTAATGATCCTAGTACAATTTAGCTCACATGTGCAAAACAGTCATAATTTTTCTAATCTCAATAAAGAGAGCGCAATGCTTTAATTACTGTGTAATCTCTTAAAAGCTAAATGTTCCCTTTGAAATAGATAAAATGGTAGCAGCCTGTAATTGCTCAAGTTGCCATTAAATAATTAAAGCATTGTCTGTGTCAGCTGGAGTGTAAGTAAATGTAAAATCATAGCATAGTAGAAATAATCTTCTTGTGGTTGATTAGGACAGTCTTGGCTTTGCCAGAATTTTTGGAAACAGTCATGAAGCTTTCCTTTCTTTGAAGAAATTTAGCACCTCTAACTAAATTGAGGCTCATTTATATGTCAGTCTAATTCTGACTTCATTAGTTAACCAGCTTCATGTGATAACACAGATTAATAATCTTTGATTTTGAACCAGAAGGAAGGGTTGTTTTCCCCCACTCCCGTTGGTATCTTGGATTGATCACATAGCTAAAGGCAATGCTGTTCACCCATATGGGCTCTAGAGGAAGGTACTCAATTCTAAGTGTTCTCCGTGCTTTAAAAAACACACACCACAAAACAAAACCACCCAAACCCCACCCCATTATCTTCCTCATATTATACTGAAAGGAAGAGTCCTCTGGTCAGTGAGAGATTCTGAACTGTTTGCATGCTTACCTGTCTGTAGGGAAGTTCAGCACCCAAACTTCCTTCTGTAAGCTTCATGGGAACAGGATGAACAAGACTGTGTCTGTGGATCAAAGCAGACAGGAGGGGGTGGTGTTCTTTGGAGTATGGGACAAGGTGGTGTCTGCTCACCTTTTCTGACAGGGCTGTGGGTGCTGTTTTAGAGCAGTGGTTGGAGAAAACATTAGGGAACAGAGACCTGCTGCTAAACACGTAGCCCAAGGACTTCTCTGGCTTACCAGTAGTATTTGTCCAGCAGCTGTGGCCCTTGCAGGAGCTTCAACAGTGTTGTCTACATTACTGCAGGAGTGTACATCCCCTTACCCTCCTTATTTTACTGGGCTCGTTATACTCTCCAGGCATGCCATTTTTCAGGCTTCTATGTGTGGAAGAAAGAAAGGATGCATGTATCAATGTAAGCTCTTTGGTTTTTTTACTGTGTGTTTGTTGACTTCAAAGTACAAGCTTTCCAGCCATGACTTGGTCTTTGATCTTCCCCTGTGGTGACAAGCGTGCAGAAGGAGGAACATCAAAGTCAGAAATGGCTAGTTTTGTTGGCAGATGGGAATTTAATTGTTGCCCTCCTTTCTTCTACTAGGATGCATTCCAGGAAGAGTACTACCGAACAGGAACCTACCCAGCAGTCCCTATAGTACCACCCCGACGACCGTGGACGCTTTTGAACTGGCTTTTCTGGGCCTTATTGCTGCTATATCCTTTATTCAAGCTGCTCATCAACATGATCAACAGTGGATCATCGCTGACACTGGCTAGTTTTGCATTTGTCATTGTAATGGGTAAGTTTTCTGAAACAGAAAGATTACTTACAGTGTAACTGCCAGACATCATTTATTGAGGCTTACTAAATATAAACATGACTTGTGAAATCAACAGTCCATCTGATTCTATATCCACTTAGGCCTGAAACAGGTTAAATAGATTCTTTTTTTTTTGTTTATTTTTGTGTAGTTGTGTTATTTTTTTATAAGAGCTGCAGACAAAACAGTAACTTTCCAGTGGGTTGCCTACAAGAGGCTTTCTTTTCTTGTCTGCTGTGTTTCTGGGTTGCACTTTGAATGCCTGGAAGAGGTGCTCAAGGCTAATTTATTCTGTTGAGAATTCTTTTATCTAATCATAGTCTGGTACGTCATCCACTGGAAATCTATGAACTTACGATGTAAGGACAGCCTGTTTTGGCCATCTAGTCTGACTTATGTAGCGCAGAGCATAGACTATCACAGGTGATTCCTACAGTTCCTGTTGTAGCTCTGAACTGCCTTTGTTTGTGTTTAAACTAGTATGTTATTTAAGGGGAGGAAGGAAAACAAAACAAGGAGGTGGCCCACAGAAAGGGAGGGAGATCTCATTTGGTGTCCTTCATGGAAGTAAGAACCAGGTCAGTTTGGCAAATAACGTTGTATCTGGGTGTCTGTGCTTTATGGCATATTGAGTGCCTGTTTGAAGAGTAAGTTCCCTTCCAGAATAAGCCATGCATTTGTAAAGCAAATATTTTATATGGCTGCACTGACCATTGCATTTATTTATGTCTTCATCACCTTAATGCCTGTGTATATTACAAACATCCTTTGAAAAAGAAACAGAGCTTCACAGTCCTTCTGGCTTTGAGTGAACTTGGATGCAGAGAATTAGAGTTAGCTTAAAAAGCCATGTCCAAAATAGCAACACAGAGGAAACAGGAAAACATGGAGCATTTTCTTCTCTCGGGAGTGCATTTTTGCTCTCTACCTAGGAAATTTTTCCTAACACATGAATATTTCTTTGCATTCTCAAAAAGTCTGAATCTTGAGCAGGTCCCACACTAGTCTGAGCAAGATGAATTAACTCGTGTCCTTTTGCCCATCTGTGAAGAGCTTGATATGGTAGGCACACAATACTCTTTTCCAGAAAGTGCCCAGCAAATCAAACTCTGCATAAGCTACTGTGGAAGCTTTTTAAAGATAATTGGAGAAGGAAGAATTTGTGTGTTTGTGCATGCGTGCAGGAAATTTGCTTCATGAGGCTTTGGGCTAGAGGAAGGAAAATGAGAGCAAGGATAAGGTCCAACATAATAGTTGGTATGTTAATGTGGGCAACATAGAGGGAAAGGGAGGGGAATCCTGCGCTTTTGTCCTCACCTGGAGAAATTGTTGGTGCTTTTTACCCTGGAAATGTTTTATGTAAAATGTGTGAGAATTTCTTGGAGCAGTGACTACAACTTAAAAGCACTTTTTTTCACCCACCTTACTTGTTGGAAGGCACAAGTCATGCTCCCCCCCCGCCACCTTCTCTGACTAGCATAGGTTGGAAGTAAAGAGTGAGCACCATGGTTGGGGTGTGCTTCTCAGGAACGGGAGGTGTTGGGTTCAAACCCCCTTCAGTTACAGAGAAAGGTCAATTTGTCTCCCCTGTGCTCTAGTTCAAAATGGGTACACAACAGTGGGCGGGATGAGGTATGACAGCATGGCAAGTGCTACGTCCCTGGCAGTAGCACTGAAGAGGGCATTTGTTCTGCCTTTGGAAGAAATGCTGGCATAGTCTGTGTTTGGTACTGAGCTTTGGAATGATGGCCTAATAGGTCACTGAAGCTCAGCCGTTGCAAAATTTTTTAATTTCTCATCTTTCCTTCAGCATTTTCCTCATAATTCAGCTTCTCTGCTCAGTGGGCTGGTTGGTTGGGTACCATTCCAATGTGCCTCATACCTTATGTATCCTCCACAGGGAGCCTCACTGCCTAATTCAGGGTTCTGGATTTTAACCTCAGGGCCAGATGCTTTAATGTTTGGCATTGTGGCATCTGTGATATTTCTGAATTTAGCCCCTATTAGTTTAGTTGAGTGACACCACACCCCCACACTGTAAGTCCAATGCCATCTTGCCATTAGGGGCTTTTACAACTAGGTTACATCTTCTCTCTATCAGGAAGGGAGTGAAAGAACCTGTAAAGAAGAAAAAAAAATGATGCTACTAAGAATGAACAGCAAAAAGCCCTTTTTTTTTCTTTTCTCTTTCTTTTTCTTTTTTCTTTCTTGCTGTCTTAGTCCCCACTTAGTTTTCTTCTGCTTCTAGCCACAAGGAGAGATTAATAAGCAGGCTGATGTAAGTCCTCTTTTGAATGCAGTGATAACCCAAAGGTTCTCAGGTTATTTGTAATGCTAGAGCTAACAGAAAGCTACAGCAGCAGTCAGAATGAACGCATGAGCTCCCAGGCTGCAAAAGCACAGCTGAGGAATGCATTAAAAGTAGTGAGATTAACATCCCACTGCAACGTGCATTGCTCCCCCAATGCACCACATTTGTGGGATGCTACCGGTTGCAGTCCTCTGCAACTTTTGAAAGACCCCTGAGCTTAGCAACAGTTCTGTTCTCACTCTGAATACCTGGTGTGATCAAACCCAAACTGCTTGTAGTTGGCCAGGATTTGTGGTGCAGCAGAAGATGCTACATTGCCTGTAGTAGTGGCTGGGGGCTGGTTTGAATCAGCCAGGCCCCTCTCGGGCTGATGAATAGGCAAAAAGAAAGACGATGATGTCACTTATTAGCGTATAGCAGCCTCATGAAGCTATGAAAGGAAGAGAATCCGTGGGAGTAGAAAGAAGGTCAGCCTTCAGTAAAAACAAACAAAAAGCGGAGCTGGTTTATCCTGGTCACTTAAAAGTGGAGGTGTCATTACTGGCCAAAAGTGCAGTGGTTCGCTTAGTGTGTTAAGTCTATTTCTGTTTTACTATATCCCTTTAAAAGCAATATTATTGCTTGTTGGTAATCACTGGTCTCTTTCTGTGGGAGCATCTAAAAACTTCAGCCCAAGCTGTCACATTGACTTTTGTAGCCAATAGCTGAGTTTCTGTAGCAAGGCCGTTCTCCCCAAACTGTGTTTTATATCCTAAAGGGTATCTCTGTCATGAATGTCCTGGGAGTGACGCAGCCTCTTCTGACAGAGGAACAACCAGTATTTTATTTTGCAGTTGGTCTCCAGCTTTAGGCAAGGTCTCAGGAGTGACTTCTGCAATTGCAGGGAGGTAGTGGTAGATGAACACAAATGTACCTTGGAGCTTGTGACTCTTGGTGGCAGCTGGAACTGTCTGCCTGGCAGATTGAGCTTGTAGCAAAGCAGGGAAGACTGTATACGCTGTCTTTTCCAGTGTGAGCAGTGATTGGTACCTGCTCGCTTAGCAATGTGAAAAGGAAGCTTTTTCTGTAAATCAGAGGGATTTATTTACCATTGTGATCAGGTGATAAAATTGCCTTTTTGCATTGCTCCTAGTAGACCTTTCCCCTCTGTTTGTTAACTGAAGCAGCACACGTAGCTTTGGGATATTATTTTTTTATATGGCAATTTGACAGCTTGCCTAATACTCCAGAACCGGGAAGCTTATTGCAGTCCCTAATAGCCCATTATAAGTAGACTGCTGTTTCTAAAGGCAGATTTCAGTATCTGATAGCATTACCTTTATTAGCATAGGTGCAGATAGCACAATATATTCCTAAACCTTCTGTGACAGGAAAGAGCGGAGGAACTAGGAGGTCCTTTTACCTGCTACCCTCTGGTTTGTTTTCAGTGTCATTTGTCTTTTAGACGGTATCTGCTAATTGTGCTCTCCAGTAAAACACTTACTGGCTTGTAAGTAACTGCTGTTCAGGTGGAAAGAGCCATAAGAGAAATGGTCAAGCTGGAGTGAAAGCAGTGTAATAATCCCTCAGACCCTAATTCTCAGATTCAAGGAATGAATAATCAATATATATATAGCTCTGCTGGTTCAGCTCAAACTCTTTCAGCCCTAAATAAACGATGTCTCTTTTTTGTACTGAGAATGCTGAGCCATCCCCTCTTGTTTTGCTGTGCAGCAGTTGGGCTATTTATACTCATCATAATCATTGCATTGTGCTAATATCTCGCTACCGGTCTGGGAGTGGGAGCCCTTTGTGATACTACTTGAACCAACACAAGGCAGTTCCTGCTCCAGAAGATAAAGGCTGAAGCAGTTTGAGGGACAAAAATCGCTTTTGAAAACTGGCTTCAGTTTCACAGGACACATGGCAAGAGATTTATGTACTTAACTCACAACTGCTATTTAAAACTTGGGGCTGATATTTTGGCGTTAAAGCAGTGAGCGAGTCTGACAAATGCCAGTGTTGGTATTTGACAGTAGCTTCTTTTTTTTCCTCCTTATGCTTACTCAACCTCATTTGGCTCCAAAGAACCCAGTGTTAGGTTGCCTTTCATGTTTTGGTAACTTCTGTTGGAACAACCTTCATGCTCTGGAAGTATTCTATTATAGAGGTGTCAACAGCAATTAAAAGGGGATTATTGGTTCTGTATGCAAAAGATGCGAGGGCTTCTCTTGGCTTTTAAATGAAGAAGTAGCTCTTACATGTCTAATGCTAAAAGCATTAATGGCATCTGGGTTTATGGTGTGGGGCCAACAGTTAAGTATCAGTTAAAGGCAAGAAAAGTATTTCATTTGAACCAAGCGTTAAGTAGTAATGAGCCAGCTTTGATGCTGCAGGAGTTGTTGTACGTCTGCTATACAGTATGTGCACAGTGCTATTACACCTGTTTCCAGGGATCCCAGTACAAACGGTGAGTGAGTCCCTGGTGACTTGAAGGTGTCCAAGTGCGGAACGTGGACCAAAGGGTTGGAGCATGATGTGATCTGGGCAGCGCTACTGTTACAGTAAGTTTTACAAACCGTGTACAGGATTCTGCCTGTGTTGATTCTGCCTGTTGGTGGTGGAGCTGCCAGACAATCTGGTCTTTCAGCCTGGTGCTTAAAACTGGTATGTTTGTTTGTTTTTTTTTTTGTTACTTGCTTGTTTCTTCTCCTTTGAGGTATGTAAGATTGTCCCTCAATGGTAATTTCTGACGTTCGTATTAGCTTTAATTGTACTAATATTCATTTCAATGTGTAGCCTATATAACTCAGGTGTACAGCTGACTATATATGGGAAATTTTGATGCCCCTGCCTGCTGTGCTGCTTATAGCATTTGCTGTGTGGTACAAACCTCAGGTAATAGATGAAGAGAAATTCTGAGGTGTGAGAGAAAAGGTGGAAAACCTCTGCTCTGAGCTAAGGTTTTGCTGAGGGATACGATACTATGTGTGGAGGAGGTGGTTTTCTTGGAACTAACAAATGTTCCAAGAAAGAGATCACATTATTGTTTCTGTCGATTTGTGTTAGCTCAGCCCTTCCTCAGCACCCAGCACTCTGGTGGGCAGAGCAGGTCCTCAGCAATCTCCTGCATCTTTTGGCTGGTGGGTAATGATGGGCAGAAAGATGGCAGGAGTTCACTTACCTTCTGTAGTTTGGCATGGAGCAGTGTAGGGATGCCTTAGCTCATAATTTCTCTCTTCTGCTCTTCTCAGGGTGGGCTTAAACTCTCACAGCTGATTAAGGTAGACACAATTACTGCTTGATCTCCCTTTCTCCCGTTCCTTGTAGTAAAAAAACCCTAGGTTCCTCTTACTATAGGTATATTTAAAACAACAGTGGAATAAATCCTTAAACATGATGGTATCATTGGGGTATGCACTAAGGCTCCAGGAGAGCTGTGAAGGGAGGCAGGCAGTGCAGGGAGAAACCACTGAGGCACCTCAGCACTTATCCCCACTTTGCTTCCACCAGTTTGGCAAAGGTGAGCTGTCCCTTTTCCTTGCACCCTGCCAGGGTGCTGAGGGCTGCAGGGTGAAATGAGGGCAGAAGGGCGGGGACGGCGTCTTCTCCTTTGCTCCCTGGCAGAAAAATAAAAATAATCTGAACTGCTGAACTAAGTATTTTTTGGTGTCCAGGCAGTGGCATTCTTGGAACTGGATGAAATCCCCAATATGCCATGTGGTTGCTGTAACAGCTGCTCTTATTTATGCTCTGTGTCCATCTCCAGATCCTGCTTCTATACCTTCTGGTTAAAATCTTAATGATTTCATGCTTACTGTTATGTTATGATTCCCAAGCTGCAGGCTACATGTTGGATCTTCCTCTTGTCTTCCCTAGCTCATGGCCATTTAAATGTCTGAGATGTTTTTCTTCTCTGTTTGTGAGAGTGAAAGCCTTCACTTGTCCCAGTTGTTTGCATTTTCATTCACGGTCTAATAGTGGAGTGTAAGTGACAGTGAACTCCCTACCAATTATCTCCTTTTCTGGGCTTTTCACTGCACAGCTATCTGCCTGTGAGAGGGCACTGCTTTTCTTGTGCCTCAGCATCCAGAAGACCCAAGGGCAGCCCTGCGGGCAGCCCGGCTTCCCCATTGCACCACTATCTGTTCAGCCATTGCTGTGTCACATTATGTGTGACTCATCTCTATTATCCAATTACCGCTTGCACTTCTAAAAACTGTCAGTTAATTTACTGTCATACTACAAAACATGAGTCTGTAGCCAATTGGTTTGTTTTCAAGTGCCGCTATTTTGAAAGAACAAAATACATAGTGCCTTTCATCCAAGCAAATCAGAGAGAAGAGAATAGCAGAGGTGGGAAGGCAGCTCTAGTCCAAACCCCCAGTTCAGAGCAGGGTCAGCTACAGCAGGTTGCTCAGGGCTGTGTCCCATTGGGTTTTGAATACCTCCAAGAATGGAGACCACAAGCTCCCTGGTCAGCCTGTGCCAGTGTTCAGCCACTCTCACAGTAAAGAACATTTTCTTCATTTTTCCCTCCTCCCATGTTTCAGTTTGTGTCCATTGCCTTCTGTCCTGTCACTGGGCACCACTGAGAAGAGCCCGGCTCCGTCTGCTTTATACCCTCTCTTCAGATATTTATGCACATTGGTAAGATCACACCAAGCTTTTCTTCTCTTCTCCAAGCTGGGAACAGTCCCAGCCTTCTCAGCCTCTCCTCATATGAAAGATGCTCCCTCCGCTCCCTTAAATCATCTCTGTGGCCCTCACTGGTCTCCCTCTACTATGTCCATGTCTGTCTTGTACCAGGGAGCCCAAACTGAACCCAGCACTCCCGATGTGCCTCACCAGTGCTTAGCAGGGTGGGAAGGATCATCTCCCTTGACCTGCTGGAAATACTCTTCCTAATGTAGCCCTGGGCAGCCTTGGCCTCCTTTCCCACAAGGGCATACTGCTGGCATCTACCAGGAAGCCCGCGTTCTTCTCTGCAGAGCTGCTTTCTAGTCTATATCTTCTTAATTAAATAATATATTCAGCTTTTTCAAGTTGCCTGCATTACAGTTACAACATTTGTTCAATAGTCAGTGCTCCACCTCAGAACAGGTTGCTTGAAGCAGAAGAGAGAAATAGCTTTTTTCAAAAGTGATGGTTTTTTTGTGGCTGACGTGGTAGTGCCAGGTTACAGCTGGACAAGCAACTGGTAAAACATAGGGCAGCACTGGTTACCAGCTGACAGCCCTCTCCCATTCCTGTGCTAACGAGCAGCAAATGTCAGGACACAGGGTGTTCTATCAATCAGCTCTGTTGTTGGCAGTTGATCCCTGGTAGTGGTATGAAACCTCAGGATTCTCTTGGTAATCTCAGACTCTGACTTGACCATAAAGAGTCCTTTGGCTGGTGAGGAATCGTTCAGGGTCATCTTAGAGAAATAAAGACAGATGGGAATGAGCCATTTAGAGCACCTCACAGGACTGGGCCTTTTCACCATCAGTCAGCAAGAAATTGGGATTTGGAGGCTGAGGGGAGGTTCGTGGCTTTCTTGGGTTGTTTTTGGAAAAAGCATTCTGAGCAGAGGGAACGTGTTTGTGACTCCCACGTAGGTTTGGACCTGAAAGAAGCATGGCAGTTCTCAAGTTCCCAATACATAGAGTAGCTGAGCAGAAGTTTGGGGAATAATAGATTTTGAGCAGCTGCGCCCCTTTGCAAAAAAAAAAAAAAAAAAAAAAGCTGCAAGGGGAGAGGAAGGGCTAAGGCTAAGATGTGTTTAACTTATGCAGTCATTTCAGGCACTACAAATAAATTATAAAAAAAAGAAGCCCAACATAAATCCCTGTGCATGGTGAATTATTACCATTTAATCAACTATAAAAGTCTTTTAAATTAACCTGGCCTCTTGTATTGGACTGTTTCATGTTAAAAAATGCCACAACTTACTTTTTTTTTGTTGTTTATGAAGATCTGAAGCACCCTTGCACTTGCTTGTGCACTTTCCAGGGATGGGGGCTGCTGAAAGCAGGCAAAATTCCTTTCCCCTGCCACACCTCGCATGCAGATACATTAGCACAGCTTGTCACTCTGCTCCTGGGAGCCAGTGGCCCCAAAGCACCCCCATTTCACAGCCAGCCTTGTGTAAGGTTTAACAGGGTTGGGCACATCATGCCCGTGCTGGTTCCCGTAGCCTCTTCCCTGCTGGTGGGAGAGGACGTGTGTAGCCCGAGGCCAGCAGCCTAGGACATTCCTTAATGCAGGAAGGCTGATGCGGGGTGTGGGGGTGTGCCTTTCAAGGGTGAAATACAGGTAGTACGGGTATGTACCTATAATGCTGTGCTGCTCTAAGGCTGAGAGTGCTGCTCGTCTCTTTCAAACTGCTACACCTCTACAGACCTTCAATCTCTCTCTGCAAGTGGCTTTTAACTTTATTTTATTTATTTTGCAGCTTCTGTTGGTGTCCGATGGATGATAGCCGTTACAGAAATTAACAAGGGCTCCACCTATGGCAACAATGACAATAAGCAGAAACAAAAGTAGTATCTTCAGAGACTGCTTCAATCCAAAGGGAACAAATGCAACTTCGGAAAACTCTTAAGTGCATATCATGGTCCTTCAGGTGAGGTCAGAGGAAGGGTAGGATGAGCAATTGCCATGCATATCTGATTTTGTGCTCCTGTTATTTTTCTCTGGGGGTTTGGGCTGAATGACACGCTTGAAAGATGCACTCCTTTGTATACTCTCTACAACAGGTTTGCATTTGTTTGGTTGGTTTGTTTTCCTATAAAGCGTCTTAAGTTTTGAAGAAAAAAAATAATCCAATGTGCTTGTATGATGAGACTCTACCTGGAAACTAACCAGAGGTGCAGGCTTTATCTTTCTTAACTTGCTCTAAGGAATGGATAAATGTCAGAAGATTGTTACAAGATGATTACAATTGATAGTTGTGTAGATTACACATTACCAGTTTAACAACCATAATCTTTCAATGTTAAATACAGTAAAATGCTCTGCTTGGTTATACCAGTATCGGACTGAAGCAGCTCTACTGAACTGGCAGAACTGCAATAGAGTTTTTCTACATCTAGAACTTATTCCCACAGTGTGCACCACATGGGCCCTTTAGAACTTCAGCCAGACCCCAGCTAAAGGCCCACAGCGTTAGATCGGAGCCTTGCAGTGGCATAACCTGGAGAGGAATTTGGCCTTGTGGCCTGAACAGAGCTACTTTACCCGCTGCCACATCTTCCCCCAGGCAATACATCAGAGGGGCAGCTGAAACCTGTAATTCTTTTGAGAGTAAATGCCATTTATACTTTGGAAAAACTGAGGTAATAAAATTCCTTTCAGCTTTAAACACCAATTAAAATTCTAGGCCTTCCTAACAATGGTGGAAAGAAAACAATTGGGTATGCTGTAACTAAGTAATGTAAAGCGTGCATTAAAAGTTACGCCCCACACCCATACTCTTATGATCCCAATTAATCTGCTTGTCTCTCTTTTCTGATAAATCAGTTTAAATGGTACCTCATAACAGGCAGCCTGAGGCAATACTTAAATTATCTTTTGCTTTTTAGTGGGGAGAAGAGGGGAAGTAGGAGAGAGACCTAGGATAGGGCTGTGGCTTAGAGTGATTTTTTATGGCTGTCTGGACTTGCTTTGACACTCTTCTGAATTAAATAAAACTAGAATCAAGCCCCTTGGGAAAGCTGTTGGTCTGACATCCCTGGTACTGATTCCAGGGCAGCCTCCTCCCGTTTTTAAACTTCAAGCATTAAGGATATGCAAGTTACTAAAAAGAGCCTGTTTAAAAAAAGAAAAAGGAAAAGAGGGGACTTCCAACTACCAGCAATTATGATTGAAAAAAAACCCCAGTCTTTTAAAATCTAAAGGTACTGATGCTGAGCAGCAGGGATTACGACTGGCACTTTCAATGATGGTACATTTTCACTGCACATAGGACTAAACCATGATAGTCTAGGAATGAACAGCCCGTGTGTCTTTCTTTAGAGAAGAAAGCGAGCAGTCAGTTCGAGCAGGTGCTGTAAAAACAATTTCTCTTTTCCTATAACAAAACTGAGGCCAGAAGAAACAGGGGCTGGTACAACAGAGTGTGAATCATTCCATGAAATATGCGTTTGCTGTTCAGCACATCGGGTCATCTAGCAACTAGTCTTTTTAATATGCAGCACCTAAAGAGCAGGTGGAGTAGTGCTTTTAGCATGGGGCAGTAAGTAAAGTTTTTTGAAAGCAGAGGCAGTAAAACATACCTCATGAAGGAAGGAGGGACTAGTTTTGTGGGGCTTTTTTCCCCACCCATCTTGTGCACACATGCGTTCCCTGTGCTCTCAAGCTTTCTGGAATAGGTCATATGATGTCATGAACATAAACACGGGCTTTAGTATAGTTTTTCAACACATGAAATAGAGTGTGAGATCAGGGAATACTGCCATGCTTATAAAGCTCTTCTCTTAATAAAGCACACACCCTGCACCTGTATTTGCTAAAATCTTAACAGTGGAAAACTGAGTATTATAATCTGTAGTAGTGTCTGAAGGTCCAGCTATCCCACAGTGATGCATCAGGCACGTTAGTGAGCCAGGCCTGAAGACACTGTACACAAGACTGAAGATGGGTGGGGGTGGGAGAGAAAAGATCTCTCCAATCCAGCCTTTTACTGTAAACCTTACCGGGCTGATACAGTGGGCTCTTCTCAGACTGGCAGAATGAACCCCACCCGCAGGGATGAGTAGTTCTGAGCAGCAAATACATATTCATGTAGCGATAGAGACTGGCTCTTTCGCCTTTTTAAAGAGCCGCTGATTTAACATGCTGGTAGGGAGACATTTAACATTCCTTCTGAATCTTAGTCCTTTCCTCTCTAACTGCATGCAGTGCCACTTCTCCCAGAGGAAAATACCACACATGTAAATACTTCTGAAAGAGTATTTAGACTATTTCATACCCATTTCCCTGGGATCAACCCTTAGAACAGGCTGAGGGCCGAACACGCCACTCCTGCATCCGTCCTAAGCCCTTCTAGAAGTCCCAGCGCACAAGGACTGCACCGCTGGGCCCTTCCAGCATTCACCGGCAAACAGAGAAAGCTTATTGGTACTTGCCAAAGTTAAACTAGTCCAGTTCGCTGTATTAAAAGAATGACATCTGTCATTAGGAAGCAGTGTTTGCCCCTCCTCCCCACAAGCAACTGTATGTTCTACAACTGCCTTAATAAAAGTAGTTTTAACGTTTGTTTATACAAAAATAAAAAGTATAAAAAACTGGACATGCAGTGAGTTTTCTTTCAGCCGGCAACAATTAGTAACAGTTTACTTTTCACCTTCATCCTGACTCCTAAAAGCCTGTTGTGTACAAGCGTACCTTTAACAAGGCAAATAAGGACACAAACCACAGGGATACTTCTGATATACCGCAACACAAAGCACACAGCAATCGGGGAGGGACTTTTACCTCAGGTACTTTTATAGCCAATAGCTGAGGATGACAACGTACATCCCCTCCTATCATAACTGAAAATAGAGAACTGAAGAGATGGGAAAGTCTTTGTTTAAGTTCAGCACTGTGGTTTTTTGAGAGCCTGGATACACTGCACTGGTGACCTGCACACAGTGAGGCTCGTGCTGTTCTAGATTTAAGTGTCAGCTTTCATGATACCTTCTCAACAGCTCACCCAGCTGCTACAAGCTGCCCCAAACCTGTAACAAACCAAGGATTTCTGGATTAAGAGGACAGACAGGACTTTAGAATAAAGCCAAATATTAAAAGCAAGTTCTCTGCTTTATACGTTACCCATTTTAAAGTCTAAAGCTGTAATGGGAATATGCAAACTGTACTAATGCTTACAATTAACAGTTTTAAGTCATCTGTTTGTAATAGCAAGCCAAACAATCTACCTCGATCAAGCTTTGCAGATCGTTTCTTATAACTAGTAACCATTTCGAACTTCTCTCCATTTTCTGAGACTGATGACGATTAGGGGTAGGGAAATCAAAGTCCAGGATCAGAAAGCCGTTTTAAAAAACGAGCCGTAAGTTCTTGGTTTTGCCAAACAGAACACAAGAATAATCTTAACTGATTCTCCTCTTGGCCACAGAAATGCCACGCAGACCATTCCCTGTTCGCAGTACTCGCATTCAAGAAGAAAGTTATTTCAGACCATGGCTCTGTCCCTTATGTAATAGGTAGCGTCAGGAATTGTATGTCACCTTATTTCCTCAGGTGAAGATGAAGGGGGGAACCTTAATTCTATTATCACTTGTGCAGCGTCAGATGCTTCTTACACATCTTGAACATGACAAAGCCTTGACTATAAGAGCAGCTTATTCCAGTTAGGTTAGCTTAGCAATCTTAAACAAGCATTGAAAAAAGTCTAAAATGTGGCATGACCCCACATATTTTCAGAAGAAAAATCCTTCACCAACAACTCCTAAAATAAACCATTTATTGAGAAAAAACTTTTTTTTTAAAATTTCATTAATCAGCCTTGTGCATAACAAATCTGAAGCTTGCCAAAAACAAATAAACAAAAAACCCAGTAAAAGTTCACAGTCAGTGCACTCAACAAACAGATTAAAAAACAAGGTCCATAACGCCTGATAACACTACAGCATTTTTCTGAACCTAAAGAGTTCAAAAATACTACATATTAACATTACAGTTCTCAATCAAATGAGAAACAGGAGAAAGAACAAAAAAGGTATGGTCCATATACAGTAGTAATGGCACTTTCACTAAAACATGCAGCTTCTTCCAACTTGCGGACACTGTCACATGAGCAACATGTGCCAAGTAAAACATACAGGAGCAGCAGAGAAAGTGACGCTCGTCACTTGTGCAGTCTTCGTAAGTTCAACTTTTATACTGTTTCTCAGCACAGTCTTTATGTAAATATTACATACAGTAGTGATTAAAAGATATCTTGTCAGAATAAAAAAGGCCAGAGATTGAATAACTTCATTCTTCATCTGTGCAAACCTGTGAAGAGGACAAAAGGCAATTAATTCAATTGTCTCCCTATGGCAGCAAGAAGATGACAACAGATCAATTTCTTTAGTACCTTCATTGAACGGAAATGTACCAGGACATCTTTGAAGCTTTCTTCTTTCTCCCTTGTTATACAGAGAATGCATTACAAGTGCTTATATGTGAATACTTGTGTTTCAACTCTCTGTCACCATGCTACTCTTACGTGCCTAAAAAAAGCGTTCTGCCTCTGTGATGGATGGGATCTGGCTACAGCTGCACTGATGAGAGGGATGGGCATGATGATCCCAAACACACTGTTATTGAACCAGAATACCAAAGCGAACAGCTTTATGCTGGAAAATGTGTCAGAATTCAATAACCTACTGTGTTCCTACTTCTTCAAAGAACACACCTAAATTTGTAGCTGTGAATATTTGCCTATACTTAAGCAAAGAATTAAACCAAAGTTCATGCAAGACCTGCAGATTGTTATGCCATCTGCCAGATAAGCATTCAATATGAAGTTGACTTTAAATATGCACTTAAAAGAAAAG